TTTTTGTGCTACGATTGACCAAAAATCACTGGAAAAAAAAAAACGTACGAAAACATTATGACTCCTGCTTACGCTTCACGTGCGGGGGTCATAATAAACAAATGCTATTATTTGAATATTAAAACTTTTTATTTACCCAAATATAACTCATGGGTGTGTTTTTTTATAATAGAACTGTGCAGTTAATTCTACATGTGGGACATCCAGAACATAAATAGAAATTTGAATACATCAGTCTACACACCAAAGACACTCTGCTGTGCTTTCAGCGTAAAGTTCAATTACAAGTTTCTGCTTAGTATTTACAGTACATCAAGGATTGTGACAACTGTATACAGAGGTGTAAAGAGATATATAAAGTACCTAAAAAAATAACTAAGTAGAAGTAAAAACACCTTAACCGAAAACAACTTTGGTAAAAATAAATTTTACTGATGAGGAAAAGTACTTGAGTAAAAGTCACTGCTCACAATAATTGAGAAAGTAAAAGTACTTTTACACACACTGAACCAAACTGGTTGTGTAAATGAAGCAGTTTACATATTTTCTTTTAAGGAAAATGTGTAAACAGCATTCCTCTGTTTAGTGGAACCAGTTGATGTAACTTGGTTCAGTAAAATCAACACTTCAGTTTTTAGAGTGAATGAACCAATCCTTTCATGAAGAGTTCATCTTATTTGTATCATGTAACAAGGTGTTAAACATTAAAGTGAAGAAGGAAAAGTATAATTTTTATGTTTTAAATGTAACAAAATAAATGTAAATGTGACAATAAAAACATGGTAAAATTACAAATCCTCACAAAAATTACAGTAACAAAGTAAATTAACTTAGTTAGTATACACCCCTGAAAGTAGCAAAGTATGCCTTTTTTCTGTACTTATGTAGAAAATTTGGTTATCTGTACTTGAGTAATGGTTTTTCAGAAGACTTATCACTTCTACATCTTACGTTTTAAAAAGATAAGAAGTAAAAAAAATCCTTATTGCTTGTTTTCCTTCATGCTTGTTATTGTTAAAAATATAAAAACCTATCCAGATACATGGYGACTCCTGGAGTGAGTGAATTTAACTGGGTGAAAGAGAAGTATAAAATATGCACCCTATTTGATACTTAAATAAATTTCGAATCAAAAATTTACTTTTGATACTTATTGTCAGATACTTTAAGACTTTTACTCAAATAAAATTCTTAGAGAAAACTTTAACTTTTAYTAAACTCATTTTATGGTAAGATACATGTACGTTTACTCAAATATTGCTGTGAGGTACTTTATACAACACTGGCTGCATAAAGCTGTTTTTGTGTGAACAAAGTGATTGACATAAAAAAAGGTGATTGACAGCTCTGGTGGGCGTGACCAATCAGATTCCACAGTGCCTTCCCCCCGCCCTCCCTGTGGCCCCGCCCCTGGCTCTGGTTTGTCCCACATCATGGTTTTGTTGTATCAACACTCTTTATTTTGTAACGAACCAGTTTTCATTTTTCACTCTGCATTTTTGTCTGCTGCTCCCTGAKTTTCGTGACAGAAACCTGACACATTCGTTTATTAGACATTACATCATTGAAGTGCGGCCATCTTGAACTGGATCCAAGAGTTAATCAGTTTTAGACCAAATGACTGTTCAGCAGCAGATATTTAGCTAACAGGACAGAAAAACACATTCTCCTCTAACTCAGTGATTCTGTGTTCATAATAAAATCCCAAACCATGACCCCACCCCCTCTGTGTTTAACTGTTGGACCATTTTGATGACCTTTGACCTGTGGTCAGTGACAGTTGCGATGGAGCTCCATTTTCAACCAGCAGCTCTGTCTCTGTCCTGAAATGGCTGCTGTCTCTTTTTCACCAGTGTTTCTTGGAAGACTGGTTCTGATAGAGGAGGACTGGTTTGACAGGATTTAGTGGTAAAAGGGTGTTTTCATTTTCTCAACATRGAAGTGTTTTAGTGACATCATCAGTCACATGACAGCAGCTGATGACTTGGGCTGTGTTTTACCTTTGGTTTGTCTGAAGGGGGCGGGGCTGTGACCCCTCCAACCCCCGTGCCTATAGATCCTGCCAATATATATATATATATATATATTTTTTTTTTTTTTACTTTTTCATTTATTTCATTCACAAAAACCAATACAAGTTATTGAAATAAAATGATTTTGGTATCTTCCACTAATTACAAGTGTAGTTTTTATATTTTAACATTTGTTTGTCTAAAGCTGGTTCAGTTTATATTCTGAGAACAGCTGAAGTTTATCACTGCTACAACCCACCATCCAACCATCATCCAACCATCAAGCAACCATCATCCATCCATCCATCCATCCATCCCTGTATGATTTTAAGGTCTTAATGGTCTTGCACCACTCTATCTGGCAGAGGTGCTATAACCTTATGAACCACTGCAGACCCTAAGGTTCTCTGACACTGGACTATTAACAGTTGCAAGAGTCAGAACACACAAATGGAGAGGTTTCTTTCCAGTATTATGACCCTTGTCTGTGGAGTGGTCTGCCAGAGAACCTGAGGGCTGCAAAGACTGTTATTGTTTTTAAGAAACCCCATCTTTTTAACTGCATTTGCTGAACTGGATAATTTCTACTTATTTTTCCACATATTTGTGTGTTTTTCCATGTTGGAGGAGGGAAGGGCATCATTTGTTTGTTTGTGTTTTTTATTCTGGGTTTATTGTTGATAATCTTGTACAGCACACTGAGCTGCTTTTAGTGTAAAATGTGCTTTATGACTAAATAAAAATTAAAATGAAAATCCATCCATTCATCCATCCATCCATCCATCCATCCATTCATCCATCCATCCATCCATCCATCCATCCATCCATCCATCCTCTTCAGTTTATGGTCCAGTCACAGTGTCAACAGGACCAGTAGGAAAACCCAGACTTTCCTCTCCTCAGCARCACTCTCAGTTTCTCCCAAGGTGTTCTCAGGCCAGAGGAGAAATGGAGTCTTTCTGGTGAGTCCTGAGTCTGCCCCAGGATCTCCTTCCAGTGGGGCATGCCTTCAAAGAGACACATCCTGTTCAAATGACCAGCATGTTCTTCTGATGTGGAGGAGCAGTAGCTCTCTGAGCTCCCTGTGGATGATGGAGCTCCTCAGCTTGAGACAGGCTGAGGAGCTCCATCATCCACAGCCTCAGGAAACTCATTAGCTGCTTCTTACTGGGATCTTTTGGTCAAGACCACAGGTGAGGTTGGAATGTAAATAAGAACTTTGCTTTTCAACTCATTTTTTCCCATGACTGATCAAAACAACCCCTTCATCCCTGAGGCCCTGATCCATCTCCTGCTGCATCACTCAGGAACAAGATGCTCAGACACCTCAGTTCCTCCACATTAAGCAGAGACTTGGGTCCTCCTGGTTCTCTTCTGGAAAAAGTATTGAATACGCTCCTTAGTTTGATGTAAATATATTAGTTTTATTGAAATCAGTTTAATTTAAAT